TGCAAGCATTGTTTTGCTATCAAAAGTACCCTTGTTGCACACATCAGAACACACACTGGGGAGAGACCTTATGAGTGTGACGTCTGCAAGCAGCGTTTTTCTAAATCAAGTAACCTTGTCGTACACATGAGGATACACACTGGGGAGAGACCTTACCAGTGCGACATATGCGAGCAGGGGTTTGCTATCAAATGTAACCTTGTAGTACACATGAGGACACACACTGGTGAGAGACCGTACAATTGTGACTTCTGTAACCAGCGTTTTGTTCAAAAAGGTACCCTCATTAAACACATCAGGACTCACACTGGGGAGAGACCCTATCAGTGTGAATCCTGCAAGCAACGTTTCACACGAAAATCTTACCTTTTTAAGCACCTAAAAACACACTCTTGGGAAAAGGCATAGTATTGCAGCCGATGGGAAAAACACTGAATTAAAAGTTATCGCTTTTAATAATGTTAAACTAACCGCAGTTAAAATGTCGTTAAAGATCTCTTATAGGCAAGTAAATTTAGGTCTGAGCCACGATATAGCCAATATATTTCGTTTAACTGTCTTTTGTGAAAGATAAGCTGGCTCATAATATGTGAACGATGGTCTTTTGTACCCTTCTTGTGTTTCAATAAGTCTCCAAATATTGTATTTTGCGTTCTTTACTGATGTTGCGCCCATTTTGTGTCAAAGATTAATTTTTTTTTGTTAATTTCATTATGAAAATGCATTTAGTTTACGTACTCTTTAGTTTGCAATGCGTTGATGTAAATCATTTGAGATAACATTTCCCGAAAAACATTTATCGTTTCAATAAATATTGTATCATTTGTACCTACCGTTGTTGTTGTGATCGCTGAGTGCTCTCTTCCTCTGGATAACAACAGAATGACGAGTGGCGCGCAAAACCTTTTAAATTGTCTCTTAAGTCTCTGTTTCTGCTACGCATTGAAAGTCTTTTGCTGTTCCCGGCGCCGCTTTTTCTTCTACTCGCAGTTCCTCCTCTTTGTGCTAACAGCGTCCCTCAGCTCTTCATACGCATGTCGGTGGCGGTGTGGTCCCTCAGTGCTGGTCGCCCATCCGAACTCTAACGCGGTGCTTTTCCTGTCGATAGGTGCTGGGCCCGGTACTACACTGCCAGGACGAGAGGCCGTCGACTGGGAGGAGAATCCGGAGATCAAGGCCGAGACGGGCGCGGACGACCACGGCGATGATCCCAACGCTGGTGTCAAGGACGAGCAGCTGAGGCTAGTGGTCACTGGGTGCTACTCGCTCCGCGGCCGCCGCGAGGAACACCCCGAGGACATCGCCGACAGCAAGGCCTTGGTGGGCCTCGCAGGGGACAGTCAGCAATTGGCGGGTAGCGAACTGGCATCGAACGGCGACGCCAGTGACGACCGCAAGAACGAAGCACCTGCTGTCGAGGCGAAGCAGAATGGTGCAGAACGGAGCGGACACACTGTTGAAAAACCGTACCAATGCGACATCTGCAAGCATTGTTTTGCTATCAAAAGTACCCTTGTTGCACACATCAGAACACACACTGGGGAGAGACCTTATGAGTGTGACGTCTGCAAGCAGCGGTTTTCTTATTCAAGTGACCTTGTCCGACACATCAGGATACACACTGGCGAGAGAACTGACCAGTGCGACATCTGCAATCATAGTTTTTCCATTAAAAGTACTCTTGTCAAACACATCAGGACACACACTGGGGAGAGACCTTTCCAGTGCGACATCTGCAAGCAACCTTTTGCTACCAAAGGTACTCTTGTCGCACACATCAGGACACACACTGGGGAGAGACCTTACCAGTGCGACATTTGCAAGCATCGGTTTGCTTTAGAACATACTCTTGTCGCACACACCAGGACACACACTGGGGAGAGACCCTATCAGTGTGAATCCTGCAAGAAACGATTTACACAAAAATCTCACCTTGTTAGACACCTAAAAACACCCTCTTGCGAAAAGGCATAGTATTGCAACAATGGGGAAAACGGATAACACGTGAATTGAAAGTTATTGCTTTTAATACTTTAAAACTAACCGCAGTTAAAATCACGTTATTGAAGATCTTTTGAAGGCAGGTAAAATTAGGTCTGAGCCACGATATAGCCAAGATATTTCGTTTAACTGTCTTTTGTGATAGATAAGCTGGCTCATAATATGTGAACGATGGTCTTTTGTACCCTTCTAGTGTTTCAATAAGTCTCGAAATATTTTATTTGGGTTCTTTACTGATGTTGCGCCCATTTAGTGTCAAAGATTAATACAATTTGTCAATTTGATTATGAAGAAGCATTTAGTTTACACACTTTTTTGTTTGCAATGTGTTGATGTAAATCATTTGAAATAACATTTTCGAAAAACATTTATCGTTTCAATGTATTTTGTTTCATTTGTACCTACCGTTTATTTGTGTGATCGCTGAGTGCTCTCTTCCTCTGGATAACAACAGAAAGACGTGTGGTGCTGCTGTTCGCGGCGCCGCTTTTTCTTTCTACTCGCAGTATCTCCGCTTTGGGCTAACAGCGTGCTTCAGTCCCTCACGCGCATTTTAGTGGTGGTGTGGTCCCTCAGTGTTGGAGTTGGTCGCCTATCTGACAGCTCTAACGAGTTGCTTTTTCCTGTTGACAGATGCCGAGCTCAGTACACCGCCTGCACGAGAATCCTTCGACTGGGAAGAGAATCCGGAGATCAAGGCCGAGACGTGCGCGGTCGACCACGGCGATGATCCCAATGCTGGTGCTAAGGACGAGCAGCTGAGGCTAGTGGTCACAGGGTGCTACTCGCTCGGCAGCCGCCGCGAGCAAGACCCCGAGGACATCGCCGACAGCAAGGCCTTGGAGGGCGACGCAGGGGACAATCAGCAATTGGCGGGTAGCGAACTGGCATCGAACAGCGACGCCAGTGACGCCCGCAAGAACGAAGCACCTGCTGCCGAGGCGAAGCAGAATGGTGCAGAACGGAGCGAACATACTGTTGAAAAACCGTACCAATGCGACATATGCAAGCATTGTTTTGCTTACAAAAGTGACCTGCTTGTACACATCAGGACACACACTGGGGAGAGACCTTATGAGTGTGACTTCTGCAAGCAGCGTTTTTCTAAATCAAGTACTCTCGTCCGACACATCAGGATACACACTGGGGAGAGACCTTACCAGTGCGACATATGCGAGCATGGTTTTGCTGCCAAATGTAACCTTGTCACACACATGAGGACACACACTGGGGAGCGACCTTTTAAGTGTGACGATTGCAATATGCGTTTTGTTGAAAAAAGTACCCTTGTGAGACACATCAGGACACACACTGGGGAGAAACCCTATCAGTGTGAATCCTGCAAGCAATGTTTTGCACGAAAATCTCTCCTTGTTAAACACCTCAAAACACACTCTTGCGAAAAGGCATAGTATTGTAGCTGATTGGATAAACGGATTACACGTGAATTAAGAGTTATCGCTTTTAATACTGTTAAACTAACCGCAGTTAAAATCTCTTTGAAGATCTTTTATAGGCAAGTAAATTTAGGTCTCAGCCACGGTATAGCCAATATATTTCGTTTAACTGTCGTTTGTGAAAGATAAGCTGGCTCATAATATCTGAACGATGGTCTTCTGTACCCTTCTAGTGTATTTCAATACGTCTCGAAACATTGTATTTTGCGTTCTTTTCTGATATTGCGCCCATTTTGTGTCGAAGATTTAAGCAATTTTGTCAATATTATTATGAAGAAGCATTTAGTTTACATACTTTTTTGTTGGAATGTGTTGATGTATATCATTTAAAATAACATTTCCGAAAAACATTTATCGTTTCAATAAATTTTGTTTCATTTGTACCTACCGTTGATTGGTGTGATCGCTGAGTGCTCTCTTCCTCTGCACGGAAAAAAAGACTTTGTTGTGGGGATCAACTTTGGTCGATAGGCTAAATTCGATAGCAGAAATCGAGAATCCGATGCCCACAGCCAGGAGCTGGTTGTCACGACCGGACACTTGTACGATGAGAACAAACCCCAGCTTAGTTCTCATCGTAGAAGTGTCCGGTCGTGACAACCAGCTCCTGGCTGTGGGCATCGGATTCTCGATTTCTGCTATCGAATTTAGCCTATCGACCAAAGTTGATCCCCACAACAAAGTCTTTTTTTTTCGTGTGGATAACAACAGATAGACGAGTGGCGCGCAAAACCATTTAAATTGTGTCTTAAGTCTCTGCTTCTGCTGCACGCATTGAAAGTCTTTTGCCGTTCGCGGCGCCGCTTTTCCTTCTACTCGCAGTATCTCCGCTTTGGGCTAACAGCGTGCTTCAGTCCTTCACGCGCATGTCGGTGCTGGTGTGGTCCCTTAGTGCTGGTCGCCTATCTGACAGCTCTAACGCGGCACTTTTCCTGTTGACAGATGCCGAGCTCAGTACACCGCCTGTACGAGAATCCCTCGACTGGGAAGAGAATCCGGAGATCAAGGCCGAGACGTGCGCTGTCGACCACGGCGATGATCCCAATGCTAGTGTCAAGGACGAGCAGCTGAGGCTAGTGGTCACTGGGTGCTACTCGCTCCGCAGCCGCCGCGAGCAAGACCCCGACGACATCACGGACACGGACAGCAAGGCCTCGGAGGGCGACGCAGGGGACGGTCAGCAAGTGGTGGGTAGCGAACTGGCATCGAACGGCGACGCCAGTGACGCCCGCAAGAACGAAGCCGAGGCGAAGCAGGATAGAGCAGGTCGGATCGAACACACTGTTCATAAACCCTATCAGTGTGACTTCTGCACAAGTCGTTTTATCCAAAAATGTCACCTAGTCGATCACATCAGGAAACACACTGGGGAGAGACCTTTCCAGTGCGACATCTGCAATCATAGTTTTGCTATCAAAAGTTCCCTCATTAAACACACCAGGACACACACTGGGGAGAGACCTTTCCAGTGCGACATTTGCAATCATAGTTTTGCTATCAAAAGTACCCTCATTAAACACATCAGGACACACACTGGGGAGAGACCGTACCAGTGCGACATCTGCAAGCAACGTTTTGCTACCAAAGGTACTCTTGTCGCACACATCAGGACACACTCTGGGGAGAGACCGTACAATTGTGACTTGTGTAAGCAGCGTTTTGTTGAAAAAGGTACCCTCATTAAACACATCAGGACTCACACTGGGGAGAGACCCTATCAGTGTGAATCTTGCAAGCAACGTTTTACACGAAAATCTCACCTTGTTAAACACCAAAAAACACACTTCTGTTAAAAGGCATAGTATTGCAGCCGATGAGAAAAACGTACTCAACCGTAGTTAAAATCTATGCCGTTGCTCTATTGACAAGTTAACTTACGTCTGAGTCATTGTAGTGAAAATAATATGTTTTCTTCAGTCGTCATTAGTAAAAGATAAGACGGATCTCAATATGTGAACCTTTGTCTATTGTAACTCTCTATTTTTAACAAGTCTTCACATAGTCTATTTTGCTTGATTGTTTGTCCTAATGCGGACATGTGTCGCAAAACTTGAACATTTTTGTCAATTCAATTGTGAAGAAGCCATTAGTTTACGTACTTTCCATGTTTGCAATGTGGTCATGTAATCACTTCAAATAATAAAATTTGAAAATCATTTATCATTTTAATTTATGTCGTTTAATTTACACCTAGCTCTTGATTGGTATGATAGTATTATAGTTAGGTGCAGTCTCCCTCTGTTTTAAAACAGAGACGCACAGAACTTTTTAAATCGAGTCTTAAGTCTCTACTTCTGCTCCACGCCTCTAAAGTCTTTCTGTGGCAGGCCCCGCTTTTGCTGCTGCCTCCAGGTCCTCCCTCTGCTGACCAGCCAAGCTGCAGTCCTGCACTTGCACATGGCGGGTCCTCAGTGCACGAGTTCCCTGCGAGCTCTTTCATTGGTGGTGCCGCACTTCCGACTGAATGTCGAACGACTGCCGTGTGCTTTCGGTTTACTCAATGGACGTTTAGGTGAGAGGGACGGGCTGCCACCGCAGCAGGGCACTGGATTAAACGCCGTGTCGACTTTCGTTCTCACGTGACTTCGTGCATCGTGCGTGCACAGAGGGTGTGGCCGGCCGGTTCACACGGGTGACCGGTGAGGGTTGGGTACCTCCTCGTCGGCGATCAGCGGCCATAACCCCTTCGCCCCTCACCTGTGTGGGGATGTTACCCGCATCCCATATGTCACCGGCACCAGGTCAGAACCCCCCTCCTTCCCCCCTCCACAGCAACGATCCACTCCACCCTCGACATCGGACGCACGCAGCACGGAACGATATACTTTGAAAAGGGTGACGTATGCATGCCTCACTCTGGTGCAGTACGTCAACGAGATGACTATTTCAAACAAATGTATCCTTTAAAGTACTTATGGCGTACATGTTTCTTATGAGCGAATGGGTACACTGGAAACGCAAGTTTGTGAATGTCGCTCACTTGTAGGTGAGCGAATATCCATTCGTACGCTTACGGGTGGTAAAGGTGTGAATTTTCTAGGAAAAATTCACACGTTTACGCCCCGTAAGTGTACGAATGGATATTCGCTCACCTACAAGTGAGCGGACATTCACACACTTGCGTTTCCAGTGTAGATAAGTATTGGGTATGACTCTAAATCTGTTTTCTTCTTCCAGAACGGTCATCGGCGCGGTTTGTAAGCAGATCCTGTTCGTTGGCGCGCTCGTCGCCGTCCCCTGCTTTGCTCCCCCTCGCCGCCCTCCGCAGCCGCACTGTGGCCCGAGGTGAGGTCTGGATCAGCCGAGGATGATCCGAGATTACCGCGTGTAGTTTGTATTTACAGTTGTGCCGGCCGAGGCGACCAGGCCCGGGGCGGGTCACGGCGCCGCTCCCTTCGCCGCTCAGTTTGTGTGCGGAGCGCTGGGTCGTGAAATACCTGACGTGCAGATTGGCAGGCGCCACAACCGCGGGGCACCCAACGTACACGACGACGCAGGGGGGAGAGACACTTTTATTTGCCGCGTTGCTCAATTTTTCAGTCGGCAGTAGAACACAAATGCCGCGTCGCGCGCTTTACTATTACCGCTCTTTATGAGACTGGTATGAGGAAGGGATTTGTGGTGTGAAATCAGTCATCTGCTGCATGCTGTCCAGAGTCGGCACGACTCAGCCTCCCATAAAGATTTACGTATAGTTGGTTTGCCATATGTTTGATATGTCGCCGTGCTCGTTCTTTTTTGTTTGTCTTTTTTTTTCAATGCGACTTATCGCTCTATCTCTCTCTCCCTCTCTCCCTCTCTCTCTCTCTCTCTCTCTCTCTCTCTCTCTCTCTCTCCCTTATCGCAGGGGCGGGCAGCTCGTCGCGGACGATTTACTCGGTGTTGTTTTTTTTCGTCTCCCCTCCGCGCCACGGACATCATCTCGCCTCCGGTGCAATGACGCCTCCATTATTACTCTGTTCAAATTCATTTTGCGCATTTCCGTCAGTGCCGTGCTGCTTACAAGAACTTACTGCTATACGGCTTGCTCTTTTGCCACAGCGACCAAGGCTTCGGCCCCTCCCCCCGTCCCCCCGTCGGAAAAAAAAGGAAAAATATTTTAAAAATCTAACCAAGTTAGTAAACAACAAACAAACTAAGCCGGTTCGCAATCCTCATGGCAGCTCCCGTGATGGAAGTAAAATTCCCTGCGATTGCGCCGTGGCTGTGTGTCCATCGCATCTCGCACGCGCATGCATACATGCTCTCTCTCTCTCTCTCTCTCTTTCTCTCTCTGTCTCTGTGTCTCTCTCACTCACATACACACGCACACAATAGCCCGACACGTGCTCTGTTGGCAATACACTAAATGATTCATCACAGGCGACAAAACGGCGTAGCATTGTACAGGAAATCGATGGACTGCTGACGACCCTCGCTGCACCGAGAGGGGAGCAGGGCGGAGCAGGGCGCGTGCAGCGGGAGTGACCTCCATATACAGCATATAACCTCGAAAATGTGGAAATCTTTTGATGTGGGGGCGTGGTGGCGTGCGAGTGTGTGACGTTTTGCAGATCATGTTGAATTAAATTTTCCGGACACATGTGTGTTTGAGGGGTGCAGGGCTATCGGCTTGGCCATAGGCTTGCCCTCCCCCACCCCGCCGCTGCCGCTCCCGCTTTCCTCCCGCCTTGCCCAGCCAAACACGCAAATTCGCCACGACCTTGTTTGCACCGAGCGGAACAAATATCCGTGACTTGAACTCATATGTTTGTGCTGCGGAGGGGAGCGTTGCTGCTGCTGCTGGGGCTGCCCTGCGGACGAGGACGGGGTGGCGGTGGTGTCCCCAAGACTAGAGTCCAAGGTGTTCGCGAATGGGGAGATAATAAAAAAAGGGAAAATTTTCTCGACAGAGCCTATTCGAGCTGTGTGGTGTGAATCGGCAGTCGGCAGTAGTAGTGCGAGCAGTGAAATGCGAGAGGGAGAAAGAGATGACTGGGTGCGTGCGCGGGAGGGAAAGAGAGAAAGGGAGAGAGCAAATGAACCCGATGCTCCAAACCGACAGGACTTTATTAATAAAGCCATGCGATGTATTATACGAGACCCGCATGAGGATGCAGAGCTCGCGCCTCTCTCTCTCTCTCTCTCTCTCTCTCTCTCTCTCTCTCCCCCTCTCCGCATTCGTGTGTGTGCGCATTTTGTAGGGGACGCGTCCCGTGTGCGGAGGGCGGCTGTCATGTGAGATACGCAACCTTGTTTTATGCAACCACAGTATAGGAACGACATGACTTTGACACGGGGGTTAACAGCATGGACGTGTGCGGCAGTAGTGATCCCTGTCGTGTTTGGTCCCGTTTCCAAACCGCGTGACTATTTCTTTTGTTGTTAGGGGCCGCCGACGTAATCATATCCAACTCGAGGATGATAAGTATTGGCATTCTCTTGTAAAATGTGCGTGGCCCCCAAGATTAAATTTGCAGCTTGAAGAGGAATAAAATACTTTTGCGTACGAAGCCGTTGCGAACTTTTCTCGACTCTTCTTTGTAACATTTCAAAGAAAACAGGTTTTCAGCATACTACAAACGAAACTGTTTGTTGATACAAATTATACCAAATGGCAAAGCTCTCGAAATCTTATCTAGGCCTCGACAGAGTGGTGCGTTACCACTTAAATTTCAAATCTGCCGACGATGCGGTAATTTGGTAATTTAAGCCCATAGTTCACGCCGATGAACAAGACAAGTCCACCTCCAGAATATTGGACGAAGTTTCTGAGCGGACCCTCTTGTCCCCCAGGCCGAGGGACGGCGTGAGAATAGTGGTGGGAGGTGGAGCGTCCTCAAACAAAGCGACATAATTATGACGGCTGGATTTATAACCGCGGGGACCCGTATAGCGAGGGGACTATAACCGCGCCGAGGCTTGATTTCTCGTATCCAGGATTTCATTATATTTATCCGGTGTGTGAGGCCAACGCGCACATGCGATCGTGTATAGAGGGGAGAACCATTACTGGCAGCAACCCGTAACATCCTTTTGCCATTGTGTGGTTAGGTTTTCCATTTTTCGCACATCTTATCTCTGACGAGAAACGACGCACGCTCGGCTCCTTTCCTTTCGTGGCGATTAAATCGAATATAACTGCGGTATGTGATTAATAACTGAACCTAAAGGAGGTCAGCGGCGCCCCCTTTGGGGCGGAATACAAATGCCGTGGACGTCTCGGCCAGTCTCCGCCCTCACTCCCAGCACCTCTTCGTGCCCTACCACCCCCCTCTCCTTACCTTCCCCCACCTCTGTCCCTCACCCGCCATTTTGCTAATCCTCGGCGGCCCTGAGGTTAGGCCCGCCTCCCCTCCTCTCTTCCGAATATCAATTAATAGCACGCTGGTGGCGCTGCGAGCGCGCGGCGAAAAGTTGGGAGCAGCAGGCGGTCGCCGTGAGGCAAGCCCGGGCCGGGGCAGGGACGATTCGGATAAAGGGTCAAATTGTTTCGCGTCCCTCATGGAGAATTTATCCACCCCCGGACAAAGCCCGATCGGCCCCCGGGCGGAGCGGTGCAGCGGCGCGCCGAGCGAGCGCCCGGGACCGCTCCCGCGCTCCTCTCCGGGGGGGCTCGGAGCGGCCCCAGAAGCTCATGGCAAAGCAGTACCCGGGCGGGCGCTGCTCATGTAGTTTGCAGCAATCGGCGGCGGGAGGAGTGGAGCGAAAGAAGTCGAGCGCACGCACCGCCCCGCCACGCCATGCGCTCCAAACACTGTTGTTCGAGGTATCACGCAGATAAGTCGTGCCAAGGTCAAGGAAAATAGTCTTCGCACTGGCAATCCAAAATTACCATGTAAAAGGAGCAGCCGAATTATGACGCCACGCCACGTGGGTTCAGTTTTGTTGAAAGTCAGTTTTACAAACGTCTTCATCTATGAGAATTTGAATATTTACAAATTTATTTTGGGTCTGATTTAATTCATGTGACAGCCCTTTCATCAAAAATGTTCACTAAGCTTGGTTTTTAGGTCATTTGCAAGGGGCTGTCCACAAAAGCGAACCCTTGGTACACTGCAAAATGCTTGCAAAGAATAGGTTCGTATTGCAA